GGCACATGATCCAGGCCTAAGGCGGGTGTGTCTGGGAGAGGGAGGAAGTGTAGAGAGGCTGATGCTATCAGTGTACTGCCTGAGTGCTGACCAGAGGGGGGGTGGTGGCTTCAAACAACATTTCAAGCTTCTTTCTGCCCCTTGCCCTTGCGAGTGCCCCTCATCACCCCCCCTACCCTCCCCCCCCCTCGTTCTCATTCATCCTTGATGACACAGCTTTGGCATCATCTCTCCGAGACCCTTTCTGACTCTTTGGTTCCTTGAGCTCAGCTCTATTGTATTATTTGACTAACTAAATGAATAAATGGATAGCATTTATGTGTCCACTTTCACTCATTCACCATGATGAGTTCCTCCTCTGTCCGCAGCACCGTGTGAAGCAGAATCCAAGCACCTGGCCTTGCAGCCTAGGAGAGAGAGAGAGACATCATACCACGGGCACCAGATGGCAAATGGTTCCAAGGGACTGTCAGTGAGAGCTTCAGACGATGGGCGATGGAAGCTGAGGCCTGAAGTCGGCCCTTTGAAGGAGGAGCAGGGGTGTTCCTGCAGAGAGGGCTGGGCAGGGCTGAGCAGGGCTGAGGTGACCAGCCTTGCTAGCACTTGGAGCACCAGTGGTGGGTGAGAGAGTGGGCTGAGGGTACCCCAGACCCGGCAGGGGTCTGAAGCAACACATCTTTTTCTAGCAGAACCCAAAGAGGTGGAGAGAACATTGTTCTGTTGGAGGAGGTGCTGGGCCTGTGAGCCGACATGGATCAGCATGGATGTCAGCCTGTGAGCCGACATGGACCAGCATGGAGGACTGCCGAGGCAGCCCTACCTTTCATTTCCAGCTGTGGTTAATACAGGCTCACATTGTGTCCAGGGAAGCAGCCAAGCATTCCAGAATGTTCACGTCACTACGAGGAAGGGAGAAAGAGAATACAAGGAGCGCATCGTTGGAAAAGACCCTGTGTGCTTTGACATGCAAGGCCAGGCACCTCCAGTATCGCAAACTACTGGGACCCTTTTGGTTCTCACTCACACTTTTAGGGACACTATCTTAGAGCTCACGTGCCGAAAATGAAGTTTGTCGAGGCTGTGGTTTACATCGGAAGGCCTAAATCTATTTTTTGAGTCTCCATAGAGAGCTGGCCTCCAGTAAGTGTCCTTTGTGACCATGAACCGGCATTGCGAATAGCCCCGCAGGCAGTGTGTTAGAAAGTGGACAGCTAGCATACACGGGTGCACCTTTGATGGAAGTTGGGGTGCTGGGTGCCTGGTATTGAGTCACATTCTGATTGCCGTGGTCAAAGGGCCCTGAACCAATTTTGTACGCTCTTCTCACATAATGGCTGTGTCCCAATCATGGTCCCATTCATGTTTCTGTAGTCCCGCCTGCAACTGTGATGTATTGATCTTTTTGGCGTGACGTTTTCCCTTGTGGTCCCAGGTCCTATTTAAATGGCCAGTTTTCTGTAAACCCTGGGAAGCCATATGGCCTCTTGCCAGTAATCTCCCTCCTCTGGGTAAATTGTTTCTTCATCCTGTTTAAGACTTAGTAAATGTTCTCCATTAATTATATGCGACTTTGGATCTCTTCTGCCCCCTTCAACCAGACTGAGAGTCAGTAAGGCTAGAAAAAAAAGCCAGTGTGGGAAAGGGGAGTAAAGGCAGTAAATCCCGAGTGTTTGTGCTGAGGTCAGCCTCGTCTCTGGGAGGGCCTCTTAGAAAGGGGTAGTACATTGAAGCTCCGGCACTGAGGGGGTGTGTGTGCGCGCAAAGTTCAGGGCCTTAGAGGAAGAAGAGAAACAACCGAAGTCTGGTCAACAATTTCAGTTGCTCAGTGGAGCGTCTGTGTCAGGCCAAGCCATTACTCACAGAGACGGGTGGTTCTTTGCAGCAAAGCCATTTTCCTGAGCAGAAAAGGGTGGGCAGATTCCTTTAAGCACCACTCTTCCCTGTATCACAGTCTGCTAGAATTCACCATTCACTCCAATAACCCAAACGACCTCCAGAGGGTAGACAGGACCCGCTCCCAGGAAGATGACAGCGTGGGGAACCCTATGGGGCAGATGCACTCTGTCAGACAGGGTCTCTGTGGGCAGGAACAGGGAGAAAAACAAGTCCTGTTCCCATACAAAGTTACAGTCCCGAGAACTCACAGGGCAGCTCTACTGTCTTAGTGGGGTGCTGTGAGTCGGAATCCACGTGATGGCAGTGATTATGGTACGGGATGGAACGAGGCACTGGCAGGCGACTCACAACAGAAATAGCCCCAAACTGTGCCTTGTCCTGGTTCTCGTGCCGTGCCGTGCCGTCTTGTGGCGTACAGAGGCACAGGGGAAAGAAGACTGGGTCTGGGCTCTGCTGTGGGACCTGGGACAAGCCACCCGTCTGACTCTCAATCTCCTTCACCCTAAAATAGGTACTGTTTTAGGGTACAAAAGAGTCCTCCAACTAGAAAACAATTTAAGAACTGTTGTCTTCAAAGAGACAAAAGAACACAAAGACAGGCTTTACTGTCCCCAGGAAGGTGACCTCCATCAAGGACACACTAGGGCCAGCCCCGCAGAGACTGCCCTTCCCTGAGCTGGCGGGAGAGGGGTGGAGGTAATATCCTTGTCTAGAGCCTTCGCTGACCCGAATGTCCAGCCCACGTCGGCAGGATCCTGGAAATGGGGGAGGCTGTGGAGGCTACTGAGGCTCCAGGAAAGGGAAACCTGGCGCTGGGGGGTGGGGTGGTGGTGCCAGGGAGCCCGAATAGGGACGAAGGGGGGTTGTCTCCCCAGATGCCTGCATAGGGCCACGACAAGGGGGCTGCAGAGAACTCAGGCACCCATCAGACGCCTATGGAAAGATCCAAACAGCATGCGCAGACGAGGACCACCTAAGCGCAGGTGAAACGAAACCTAGCCACCCCCCAGGCACACGACGTCACACAGGTGTGCGTACACTCGGCTAGTAAGGTCCGCCCACGCCGTCCACCACGCCTCCCAGCGGGAGGAGAAGCCGCAGGCGTCGCGCGCGCAGGCCCCGCCCGGTCCCCCTCGCTCGGCTTAGGGGCCCGCAGCCCCTTGGGGCCCGCCTGCTCTCGGCCCCTGGGGGTCCCTGGGTCCGCGTGCAGGGTGTGTGCTCCTGCTGTATTCCTTCCACGTGGACTTTCGCATTCGGTCACCAGCGCCGGGGCGGTTCCGCGTGGCCTAGTGACGCTTTCCTGAAACCGTGTCCTTTGGAGACCCCCGTAAAAATCCCGGGGTTACAGAAAGTGCTTCTGTCAGTGAATTCTTTCGGCGTCAAGAAGCAAGAACCAGCTCTCCCGATCCAGAGGCCTCCCAGGGCGGAGGTAACAGAGTTAAATGCAAGTCAAAAATCGAACCCAAACTCAAAGCCACTGAGCGCCACGGGTCGGTTCTGACCCAGCACCCCGTGGGCCCTGCGCTGGCCAGTCTGGGAGCAGTCCCGCCTCCTCCCGCGAGCGTGAACCGCCGACGCCACCCCCGGCTTACAGCCGCACAAAACCAGAGCACGGGAGCCGGTTTAGTATCGGGTCCCGTGCGTGTCACAGAGGCGGGAAATCGTTCCCTTCATATTGTTAAGTGGTGGGACCCGTTTGTTAACGTCCCGGCAGTGCAGCCGCTAGCGAGTTTGCTAATGGAACCCCACCACCTAGGCGAATTTTCCCCCGAAACACTAGGAATTAGGGACCGGATCTTTTTTTTTTT